TTGTATTTATTATATCATCAAAAGTTATTAGTGAGTTTCGTGTTGAGCAGGCTAGAAAAGAAAAATATAAACATAAGCTATTTTTATCTTTTTATTTTCTAAGTTTAATATGGGATGACATCAAAAGAACTCTTTAACTTTTGCATCAGATTTGCAACAGCAACAATGCAAAACTTATTCACCATGTCACAAAACACTTGCGCGAAACAATTGAAATAAAAGAGATTGATACATTTAACTGATATAAAGAAGCACTATCAGTTGAAAAACACAATGGTATGTACAGGGTAACTCATAGGCAAGTTTAAGATAAAAAATTGTGTATGTCCACTCTATTTCAATCAATCAGGCTAATTTTTTTATCATTCATAGAGGGGGGTATTCCAAGTTTTTATTCATAAGAAAAACATTAATAAATAATGATCAAAAGTGTCACTTTTGACTTGATTACAAGAATTTTATCGTTTTGTACCAAAAAATTAATGACAGCCCCCTGAATATTTTATCCTGCAAAAGAACTTTCAGAAAATTCAATAAAATCTCGGACAGTCCAGAGGAGCTGACGAAAATCAAGAAATTGCTATAAAATTCGCATAAAACTATGAAAAACAGTGAAACAAGGGGAAGGCTATGAAAATGAACGAATGTGGCTTTGTCAAGTGAGCATGCAAAATATCATATACCTAATCGTTGAAGTCACGTAAGCGCCGAAACTACGGAATGGTATTTATGGACACATTGTCCAAGTTAATATTACAAAAACAGACTTACTCGATGACTGACTAAGGGCCGGCTTCACTGTAGAACAAAAAGAAGAATTAATGAAATAAAATGAATAATAGTGTATGATCCTTTCTCGGTTTCATACCTAAGGGCAGTATGATGCTAACAGTCATGAAGAGTAGAGTGGTAGCGAGAGCCATTGCATACATCATCTATTTTTTCGAATGACAAATAAATCAAATCAAGCATCTACGGACACCTTAAACAAATCATACTTCAGCCGTTCTGAGAGCCGATAGCATGTGTTGCCAGGTCACATTGTTGATATTAGACAATAGAAAAAACTATTTGATTTGTGATGCAGATTAATAGGATTGGCTTGCGTTATCTTTTTTTCAAATGGAACTATATAAAGTTAAAAGTCGACTTCTATTCAAATTATGTACGACAATCATGGTCTCTATATAATAGATATAGGGTCTAAAACAATATTTTTTCTCTACAGAACTCCAAAGTTTCGTGATATTGTCCGCAGCTATGAATGCCGAATTCATGCTAGAATGTGCTCGACGAAATGTCCCTGATTTTTTTCCTCGGGATAAAATGTCCCCGACATCTTGTCCTCGCTAAAATGCCCTTCAAATAAATGCCATTGAAAAATGGTCCCTCGTGTAAAACGTATTTCGTATCTAGATGGGTGGGGATATGGGGTATGGGTGTAGATTTGGGTTTGGATAGACTCTTCTCTCATATCCCCACACCCCACCCACACCCACTAGAGCTCATCGGATCCAACATTTTTGGATCTGCACTCTTAGCCGGACCCGGTTTATCGAAATTCTTCTGACTTCGGATCCAATTGATTAAACTTTTCCTTACCCGGCCCTGGACCCGGTGGAACCGGACTTTCACATTCTCACTGAAACTTTCTCTGGTGGATCTTCTATTATGGAGTGAAATTTAATCTGAAATGAATAGCCACTCCAAAGATATTTCGTGCATTTTTTTCGGTTTCTTGCACTCTGTAACCAGTGCAAACCACATATTTTTCGGAAGATTAGGGCACAGCGGCTTCAAACTATTTTCAAACTCGGACCCAGATCTTATCCGGACCCAACCGGAGCCGGATACATGTACTGGTCCCGGTCCGGCACGACCGGCTCTAACACGCACATCCACACCCGCACCTTCATCCATAATCAAAAGTGTCCTCGAGAGTTGTTCATATTTTACAGAAAGGACTGTTTGTAAAAGAGGACAATTTTTCGGAGGGTCATACTGCTAAGGACTATTTTTTAGGGACATTTAGTTAGAAGGAAATTTTTTACAAGGACGAAAAGTCGGGGACATTTCGTCAAAGACATTTTCTAAAGAACATTTTAAACTGTTACCTGAATGCCAATCGACTTGGCTTTTGATCTGAGCGAAGCTTTGAAGTTCACGTCCTTTCCATTTCGTTTGAGCATATGCAACCAAGAGTAACGAATGCAAACAAACATACCATACTTGAATACTTCCGCTAAGGACGTGTGAATATGGACATCCTTCAAAACAGACACCTTCAATCAATAACAAATCGAGCAAAACAAAATCTTTGAAGTCACTTTCGCTCTCCAGAGGAGCCTAGAACAACGGAACAGAATAGAAATCAAGTCAAAATTTTGCGGAATAGAATTTGTCAAAAAAACAAGTTGATTAATAGAAATATGGTTGCTCATAGTATTCTACATTTGAAACATACGATTGAAAGACTAATGCACATAAACGGAATATGATCAAAGCATTCGATTTCAATAGTTTGCGAAACGATGATGCACGCTTGTATAAAGTCAAGCGCGTAAAATGCATTTGACATAGTAAAATTTTGACTTGTACCTTACTTCAACAATGATATTTTGAATAAGAGTAAACGCATTTCGGACGTGAATGTGGTTTAGATTAGTTGTAAACACACATCAACACCCTACAGAAGAGCATATGCCATGTGACAGTATATATACATAAAAAACTTTTTCTACGAAGTTCAATATCTTTTTCTTTATGATAGAACCAATTTTATTCCAAATCAGCCCTATGCTTTTTTGTTCTTGTAGTGCAGTTTTTATATTCATTAAGACAAAGTAGCGCATATTTCTCGGTGAAATGTTGCCAGAAAGTCATTGAATGGTGTGGGTGTGGGTATAAGAGTGGGTATGGGAGTGGTTGTGGATGTAGACGAAACGAACATATGCCACACCCACACCCACACCCACACACACCCACACCCACACCCACACCCACCCACACACCCACACACCCCACCCACACCCATACCCTGTTGTTTTTATCCGTTTCTTCTTAATATATATAGGATTTTGTATCGATGAAAAAATTGAAAATAGAATAGAATCCACTCGTATTATTCACATCAGAACTCCTTGTGGGATGAGAAAGTCGCATCCCATCTCACGCCGAGTCTTGGTACTCACATTATAGCTCAAACCAGTATAAAAACAATGCATAAATCAATTTACTGAGTAATCCATTACTTATACCACAATATTATCTCTAAAATCCTGACCTGTATTGCGATAAAGTCACTGTTGATCAGTAGTTAGGGTAACTTTTATCTTCTATCGCAAAAGCAACGATAATATACGTCGACTTTTAGATAGTTTTATTTCAATGACAACTGAATATAAACCGTGTACTGTTATTTTTTTCTGCATCTTTTGTATCAATAAAATGAAGACTTGCACTACCAATAATTGCTCAGTTAGTTTTTATATATGAGCATGATTAACATTTTGCTCTGCAAAAGTAATTAAAAGAGTTTAATTCAAGTATTATAAGATCCTTTATTTAGATTTGGAAACGTTAGATTTGATGCCATAGAATTTTCAGTATAGACATGACAATATTAAACTTTTAACGCTCATAATAAGACAACCGCCGAGATGATTGAGAAAATAAAATAAAATAATGTTTTTTAATAATTGAAAAGAGTAAAAGATTGTATTTCTATGAAAGCTGAGAGTTTTTACAGTATTTATGATTTATTTTATTTCTATTCAAAGCGAATCTGCAACAATGCATAAAGTGATACATATAAAGATATTTTTTGTTAATTCGATGAAAACCTTCGAAATCAAATTTTTTTTTCTGTATGTGCGTAACCAGCTATAGCCAATAAACGAGAGCCCATTGTTATTTTTTTCTCTCTGTATTCATTTCGGTGTGCTGGAAAAATGTCGAAAGGAAAAATGTCGAAAAGGAAAAATGTCGAAAAAAATAGGGGAAAAATGTCGAAAGGAAAAATATCGAAGGGGAAAAATGTCGAAAAGGAAAAATGTCGAAAAGGAAAAATGTCGAAAGGAAAAATATCGAAAGGGAAAAATGTCGAAAGAAAAAATCTAGAAGAGGAGAAATGTCGAAAAGTAAATATGGAAGTAGAAGAATATTGTAAGAGAAAAATATCGAAAAAGATGATGTATCCAATAAATTGTGACTCTAATCATGTCTAGTTCACTGTTGTTTTTCTCATAGTTGCGATAGTATAGAAGTTTAAGCAATCGTAATTTTGACGACTACTACCTGATAAAAATTAAATAAGAGAGTTAAGCGAAGAACTATTATATTAGCTAAAATTCTATTGTCACGACTGAAACTGCTATATCTGAAAGTGACGTAACACGATCAGTATCTCTAGCTTTTCATTTATAAATTCAAATAAAGGAAAATCTTTACTCGTAGCAGATGACTATGTTTTCAAACTGAATAAAACAACAATCCAAGGTTGTTATGCAGAAAAAATAATAAATCAATTTTTTTCATTATCTGTTTTTGTAACTGTTATAATATTAACACTAACTCATATTATATAACATGTTCTTCACTATTCACAACTCTTCAAAATATTTATCAACCATTTTTCTGTCGATGCTATTTTTTCGACATTTTTCCTCTTCTATATTTTTTCTTTCGACATTTTTCTCTTCGACATTTTTCCTCTTCGTTCTTTCGACATTTTTCCTTTCGATATTTTTCCTTTCGACATTTTTCCTTTCGACATTTTTACGGCCAACCTTCATTTCGATCAACTCCGTATGAATGACCGGACAAAATTAATTCATTCATTCATGAACAAACTTGACTATGATTCATTGTTTATAATATTTATAATGTAATAGTTCAACATTGTCATTGTGGACGACAGGAAAGTGCTTATATAGAATGAATTTTATCTTGACGCAGCCATATATATTTAGCTATTTAGAGAATTACGAACCACCAAAATCATGAATAATTCAATTGTGAGCATTATTGATTTATCCGACGAAATTTTACTTACTATTTTCAAAAAACTTGATAATTTCGATGTGTTGTATTCGCTGGTGGGTGTTAATAAAAAACTCGATAATGTAGCATGCGATATTGATTTCACTCGATCTGTTGATTTAATGACGATATCATTAAATGGAGTGGCCGATCCGGGAACTAATGCAATACTTGATCGATTTTGTATGCATATATTACCTCACATTCATAACAAGGTGGAATGTCTTACAGTTGAAGCATGTTTCTTGCATCGTGTTATTCATGCTGGCAATTATCTTAACTTACGCAAGCTCACTCTCGTCAATCTTCAACTCAGTGTGGCTTCTCATATCTTCAATGGTATGTTATTTGATTTCGTAATGTCCAACAAGTAGAAAAATTCTTTTCATATTTTTAGAAAAGTCTCCATTTATTAACATCTTCCAACACCAAATTTCAGATCTAGCTGTAACAATTAGTGACGCATTGTCGAATGTATCAATGAAGAAATCACTAATTGCTGTTTATGATAGTATTTTTGTCTTATTAACAGATCTGAAGTCTTTGGAATTTCATCTAAATGACATTTATCCATTTCGGGGACCATTGCTGACCGGTTTATCTTCTACTAAATGTTTCTCATCGAGCATCGTTTATTTACGTATCAAAATGCACAATATTGACGATTGTCTTTATCTACTTGATGGCCGTCTTAGTCATTTACGTACATTTATTGTCAATCTTGATTATATACATGAGCCAACAAATATCGGATTCAATCCAACGATCATACCTCGTTCATTAAAGATTATAAATAATGCGGTAAAGAACTACATACAATAGATGAAGAATTCTTTTATTCCAGTCTCTATTAGAACCGTTGAATAAATAATGTTTAAAGGTAGCTTTCAACAATATAAGCGTATGTGCAAAAAAGTATAAATAGGAAACGCACATCATAGAAGAACTAGCTAATAAATAATTTAACGTAAATAACACCTGATATTCGGTTGTAATCTTCATTGCTTATGAATCTGTTAGATTCGTTTTTATCTGTAATCAAAGAGTCTGTATGAAATGGATTCAAACTACGAAAGAAAAATGAAGAACAGTTCTACATCAAATAAACGAAGATATATTTCGAAAAAATTAGGAAATTAACAATCAGAAATATCATAATTTGCAGTAATTTTATTTTTCTACCTTTATATGACATATTCAATAATGAATTCATGAGTTACTCTGTCATTGTTTATTCATTATTAATTCCGTCAAATAATTATGAAAATAAACTGGTCTCTTTTTTGCATTTCAGTCATGTACATGTTTTTAATCACCTTTGAGTTATTTTTCAATATTTAGTGTGCTCAGTTTTAGGTTTTGTCACATTAATTCTTAAAGTAATTCAATAACAATAGTATTTATTCATGAAATGATTTACATAACTGAGATATGAAATAAAATATAGATGAATAAGAAAATACTTAAGGTGTTTTTTGAACTGATTTAAGATAAAAGCTCGAACTCTTTGATATTTAATAATGAAATGACATGAGAATGTTTCTGAAGCAGTAGTTTTCTATTTCAGAATGAGAAAGAAATTTATAAATTAAAAAATTAATTCAGAAAAAAATCATTAGTATGGATCTTATTTGCGATCATAGTTTGATAATCGTGTGAGATAGAACTAAATGAAATATTTCATCAATAGTTGATCATTAATTCAATCTATCATTAAACGAAGAATTCACATGGTATTACTCAATATTTCTTATGTTTTCATTTTTTTCTTATAGAACACTGCACTCAAACTCAGATGTTTTTCGCTATTTGTATATTTTACAACAAGAGAATTTCACAATCTAGTTTTACCGCTTCTTTATCGAATGACATATTTGGAAAAACTCACTTTATCTCTTCGTGTTCGCCAGCGAATTTCACTCATTGATGGCATTTTTCTGGATAAGCATGTTCTCAGTCAAATGTCACATCTACATACATTTCACTTCGACATTGTTATCGATCATAGTTGTTATATGTATGATGAACAACTTATACTATCTCCTGATGATATTCGACGCAAGTTTATTCAAAGAGGACTTCATGTTGATTGCTACATCGACTATCATTATAATAAAATAAGCCGATGTCACGTTTATTCGCTTCCGACCAATATGGAACGTATACAATGCATTACACACAGTTTTCCTGGTGGTATGTTCTTGAATGTTCGCGTTTTGTGTATGTCTGACGATGCTTCCTCTTTCGAACACACTTTCTTTGCTCAAATTTCACGTTCATTTCCATTACTCAGCAGTCTGACACTCAGCAATACACGAGAACAAAAAGAGAAATCGTTACACCAGCGAGTGAAATGTGAAGAAGCATCCGCGACTATTGAATATCCGCATCTCGTGGAACTCTACTATCTTAGAGTACATATCGATTATGTGGAACAATTTCTTTCTAACTTGAATACACGTATACCCTGTCTTATCAGGCTTCATGTTAAATATGAACATTTAAAAATTGTCACAGAGAATTTTACAAGAAATACAACGCGTGTCAACTGTGCAAAATTGAAGCATATTACTTTTGATGAAAGAGTGGCAATGGTGCATTCAAAAAACTTTAATCTCTATTTTCCTTTATTGTAAATAATGTCCTCATTAAAATTTAATTATTAGATTTGTTTAATCGATCAATAAAATCAAATGAAAATACCTATTTCTTAAATAATAACGGGTGGTCGAAAAGTTTTGTCACAAAATGTTTGCTCCTTTTTGGCCCACTTGAAAATATTTCAGACGAGTCGAAAACTATGGATTAGAACCAGAATTTTGTGCTCTTTCTGAATATGAGCTTGGAAATTTTTTGTCAGTTTTTGTTCGAGAGTAGTGAGGAAATCTTTGAAGGGCCTGAAAAATTTGTTTGGACGGGAAATTTTTTCACACTTTTTTATATTTTAACTATGGCGATTCGAAACTAAAAGTTGGAACCTTTATTACTCTATCAGCTGATAGAGCAAAATCTGCCCTATAAAATGTACTATTTGAGTTTTTTTTGGTCTTTAGGCAAGACTTCTCAATTTTTGTTTTTCCTATACCCTGATTTATGAGAAATCGACTTTTTGACCAAAAGGCGTTTTTCACAAAAAGGAGCTTCTGACAAAATACATAACTTCACTTGTGTTAAAGCTACAACTTAATTCAATATCCGATTTTGTAAATAAGTGTCCGATAACTTTTAGCATCTTCGCAAAGGGACATATATGGGTGAGGAAAAAGCTGTTTATGCGTCGTCCAAATTAATTTTTAAGGCCTTTCAAAGATTCTCTCACTATCGAACAAAAGCTGACAAAAAATTTCCAAGCTCATATTCAGAAAGAGCACAAAATTATGGTTCTAATCCATAGTTTTCGACTCGTCTGAAATATTTTCAAGTGGGCCAAAAAGGAGCAAACATTTTGTGCCAAAACTTTCCGACCACCCGTTATATTCCTATGAAAAGATCGAGTGTTTATTGTTCTATTGACACTGACTGTAAGACAACGAACCTCGTTTTGCTGAATTATGTGATGTTTTGAATTTGTTTGCTTTTTCTCATTCAACACTATTTTAACGATGATAACAAAAGCTGTCAGAGATGAGTTCGATTCAAGTTTTTGCAACCGAATTGAATGATAGTAGTGAAAAGGCTCAAAAGTTATCATAACTTAGTAAAGACATTAGTTTTAACCTGCTACTCTGAATGACTTCTTTTTACACATTAATGAGATTACAAAACTTGTTGTTTTGCTTTCAAATTAAATCAAATTGTTTTTTTTTGTAGAAGTTTAAGCACTAAAGAGTTTCTCATCTATCTCACTGCCGTCTCGAAGTCTTGTTGCAGAGTTTTATCGATTTGTGTAGGTTATGCTCGTCAAATTTGGTGCTATATATCATTTATTTTGCATCAATGGAGAAAATTATTTGCTCTATATTTTTATAAGAACTCCATTGTATATACTTCTCCTATTTCATAGAAATAATTATAGTATTTACATCAGTCAATCTCTCTGAATACAGTACAGAAATTTTTTTTTTTTTCAGTCAAATATTATTTCTGAAATTTTTATTGTCATACTATCGAAAGAAATTATTCCCAAATGAATTATCCTAACTTTTATTTTTTTATCACTGCAAACTATTAGACTATTCGAATCAAAGAATAGTCGAAAGACAAAAATCTGAGAGAAATGAGATTTTCTAGGTTTTCAAAAATCTTAATTATATTTATTTCTCATATATCTTTTCTCCAGTTCTGGAATATTCATGTAAATCAAGACATACAGAAATTTAAGGATATTTTTCTACATAAATGGAATCCATGTAAAAAAATTAGGCAAATAATTAAAATCGATTATAAAATAATTAAAATTATATGCTTTTAATTGATTATCAATCGATTAAGAGTCGATTTTAATCGAAAATATGAAAATTTCATTGATTAGACTTATTAACTCTTTGAGGACGAGCCTGTATATGTACAGTTTGAAAACTTTCCAAGAAACAAAAGTCTTTTAATTTATTAAAGTAGATCCTTTGAGTGTTTTGCTTCTGTTCCTATCTCAAAATTGTTTATTTGTGTCGTCAAAGTAAGAAGAAGTATGACAACCATAATAATTAATAATTTTCAAGTTATAACTGATTATGATACCACAGTTTTTTATTTCATTTATAAAAAAGAGTCCGCTGCAAAGGGTTAATTTTGATTATAATCGATTAAGAATTGATCGAAAAAAGTCTATTGTAATTGATGCAAACCGAAGAAAATTATTTATAGATTCGACCAGCAAAATTAATTAAAATTGGTCTTTTTTGCGCAATTTTTAATCGATTATAATCGTATTATGTAGCACAATTACTGAGAGTATAATATTCCAACATGCTTCTCTCTATTTCACACCATCTTTAACATTGTTTCTGTCGTCCCCCTTTGGTATTCTGCCTCCTGCTGTATTCTCTTCATGCACGTAGAGAATACAGTAGGAGGCAGAATACCAAAGGAAGAAGACAGAAACAATGTTAAAGAACATGTGAAACAGAGAAAAGCATGTTGGAATGATTATACTATCAGTAATTGTGCTACATAACAATGAAAATCAAAAAGGACAATCAATGAAATTTTGATATTTTGGATTATTTTTGATTAAAATCGATTTTAATTTAATTATTTGCCTAAATTTTTTACATAGGAAGTGTAGTCTCAGTGTTTTACTTTTTTTTCTAATGCACTAGCCTTGGTTTAGCTCATATTGAATCAAAATATCTCTTTCATTATTTCTTAAAAGAATCTATCTGACTTAAAATGCATGTTTGATTCTAATATTTTTGATGCTCATTAAACGAATAATGATATCGAATATAAACCATAATATTTTTTTAATTTCTTCAAAACTCTGCTTCATTACTCTAGCTGAATGTATTTGTGAAGAGGTATTTTTTCAGTTGATAGATTAACATAATATTATGAGTCATGTTAGGATTAACGAAAGAATTCAGATTATAAACTGAAAATTTGTCTTAAAAACTTACATTTCGTCACGTACGTTGTTCCCCGCCTCAGTACTTCCCACTCTCATACTATCTTGCACATTCATTCTCTCTTGTGTTCTCCCCATATATTGATGATAATCAGTTAGTGAAAGAATATATTCAACAGAGCCGTATAACATTTAATTGTTTCTGTTTTTAGAACTAAAAGTATTATACGTTCATATTATTATAGATTTCTGAAAGTATGTATCTTGTTTTTTCAAACACACATACATATGTGACAAAGTAGAATTGACACTTCGGAAG